AGGAAGGAGGGGAGCAAGTTGAAATGTACAACATAAACTTTCTTTACTGGTATATTGGCTAAGGCTATTATTTTCATACTTCTATACTGTATGCAAATAAATGTATAAAACTTTCGTGAAAGGGTTTAGATTTTCAAAGTACTGGGGTATTTATACACTAGTATATTAAGAATTATATATTGCTCAGTACATTTCTGTGTGTTTTGTGTCATGTTATTTTTAGGTTTATCGGAAACTACAAACCCTGCTCCCTGTTCTCTGTGAGTGAGCTATTAACTGTAAGCCCTCTCCCAGAGGAGATGCCAGCAGGATTGCTCTGACCCAAGTAGGACCCACCAGTATCTGGATTGGGGGTAACTGAATTGCATCAAATCCCACCCCTAGCATGAGGCAGTCACCCTGTACCATTGGGGCAAGGTCTCAGAGAAGACACTCAATGGACAACCAATTCGCTAAAAAAGGTTTCTTCTAAGGACACCTCTAACCTAGTTATCATCATGATTTCAGTTATTCTCTAAAGAAACCAGAACTGGAATTAAAGAAATTTCAAGTGAAAGAATACAGAAAATCTAGGACAGCGATTGGCACTTAGGAGAAAGACACTTGTCGTGTAACACTGAAGTCCCCAGCTGCAATGAACAAAGAGCACGCTCCTTCCCGTCTGAAGGAGGGCTCCAGCCATTGAGTCGCATCAGCCTCCTACCAGAGAAATGGGGCAAGGATAGGCGACCTTCCCTGGGGAGCAACGGTCTCCTGGGGAGAAACTCTCCCAAACACAAGGCCTTGTTTTCTTTTTGTTTTCCTTTGGCAGTGAGAATATTTTGGAGGTGAAATCATGTAAACCTGGATAAGAGTAAGCGTAAACTATACAGGGAAATGGTAGAAATAAAGGATGGGAGAGGAGGAAATAGAAAACTAATGGTAATGAGTCAAGAGTAATCTTGTCAGGGTGAAGCACAGAATTTGGAAAGGGAAAAGGCGTCCTAGAAGTATTCCCACAGCCTCATTTTAAAGATGAGGGAACTGAGGCCTCCAAAGTTTAAGAGATTTGCCTCAGCTCACACAGGCCATCTCTGGAAGTTCTGAGCCACTGGGTCAGGTGTCCTGACTCCGAGGGGCGTTTCCCATGACCCCACATTGCATCAATGCCCGTCACAGCTGTGAGCCTTCCTTGCTTGGACCAATGGCTGCTGGCATCTGGGCCTGCTGTCCCCGATCTCCAAGGACTCCTGCTCTCTCTAACTCCTAGGGGTTCCGAGTTCAATGATGATGGAGCAGACGCCAATGCATTGATTTAATTCACCATCTCAGGCCTGTACAGTAGCTTAATCAACTGACGGAAAAACTTTGGCTCTCTTTAACGTTATATTCTTTAAGAACACTATTCCAAATATATTATTTCAGAAGAATGACAATGCCTTCAACTGATCATATTAAAGATCACAATAATAGAAATAAATATGTATATAGATAGAAAATTCAGTTTTTTTCTTGAATTCCAATTTGCATAAAGTCACCTCTTCTATTTCATTTTTCTTCCCATCAACACCTCCCTCCCCAACTCTCCTTTAGTCCTCCATTTCTCTGCACAGACTCCAGTATTTGTTTCTATGTTCCACCAGATTATAAGTTTCCTGAAGTTGGGAATCATCACTTATCTATCTTTTTATTCCCCTCACCTCAACAGGCATAGCCCTTGACACATTGAAAGCACATGGTAATGTTTTCTGAATAAAGGTTTGACGCTTTCACATGTATATACAAATGCAATTTTTTAAAAACTCCAATGTGAGAATAAGAATGACTATAAATAGCTTCATCTAAAAAGGATTGTTAGAAATAACCCAATACAACCAGTTTCTTTTACGGATGATGGAACTGAGGTCAAGAGTAAGCAGGTGGCTCAGAGCCACCCCACTGGTTAGAGCGTGGGTGAGGGTGTCCACCCTGTCCCCTGTGTCTGTCTGCTGCTCTGGGCAGTGCATTCCATGCAGTCACTTTCCACATATGGATTAAATCACTCAGATACTGAAATGACGAGAAAGGATCAATGCCTTGATTATGCACTAGAACCTTGACACATTGCGCTCTCTGTATTCAAATCTCCAACAATGCCTGGTACGTAGTAGACATTCAATCAGTTTGGGATTCTACATCACTTTTTCCCTTCTCTCCTCCAAATTTCCAGATCAATCACTTTGAAGTTGCTAATATACCAAGTGTGCATCAGCTCACGAATCAAAGTTAGCATGTTGACAATGCCACCTAGCATGCTTGTAGAAGCCAATGGTACCACCCCAAGGCTGCTCCCATGTGAATGATGGAAGTGCTCCCCAAGGCGCATTCTTGGGAGAAATGGGGATGCCCATGGGGATGCTCTGAGAAGAAATGGGGATGCTCAGGGGAATGCTCTGAGAAGAAATAGGGATGCCATCATGGGGAGGTGCTGATAGAGAGGGTCTCATTGCATTTCCAAATGCCAAATTCCTTCTTCCTCAGGCAGGTATGTCTCCTAGCAGAGAGATTCCTACTTGTCTGTAGATTTCTTTGGGATACATGAGTTGAATTCATAGGATGGTGAATTCTTTGGACAAGAATTTCTGTATATCAAGGGCCTCCCAATAAGTTATCTACTTGCCCCAAGTTACCCCCCAAAAGTCACTGTGAGTTGAACCACTTAGAATACCTGTTAGCTTTTACATTAAGACGTCCTGAAGTCTATCCTGATTCTTAATTTTGATGGCTCTCTTTAATATAATGAAGCCTTTTAGTCTTGCTTGGGATTAGTTTACCACTTAATAAATTCCTTCCAACACTGTTCTGTGAGTCAACAAGCAGCCTCCCCTGTGATTTGAGCCTGGCTAACAACAAATAGAGTTTGGAAGATGGATTGCCAGGCAGAGGCATTTTCCAGGTGGTACATGCCCACTTTGAGGAAGCTTGATCGTTTTATTTTTGCGTCTATTTGAGTAAGACGTCCCTTGGCTGAAAATAACACGTCAACTTTTGGAACGTCCTCATCTGTACCACTGATGTGTTGATTTCTAGGTTATATTTTAGGCTGGACTAACACCAAAAACATGTTTCAAAGACAGATGAAAATGCCAAATTTGAAAATCATTTAAATAATTTACAATATATAAAGTGTAGAGAATTCTCAGCAAACATTTTAACTAGGTATTTATTGAGAACCAACAATGGGTAGCTTTATGTACTGGCACAATTATTTTCCCTACACTGATGTCTGTTCCTGACACATCTTGAATTTTTCTACCCTTCCCCTAAGTAACTTGACTCAAAAAAAGAGTTTCTCCCAGCTAGGTTGCTGACATATAGTCACCACTGATTTTGTCTCATGTTGTCCAGCTGAGTCGGTGCACTCTGAAATCTACAGCTTACACTGTCAGGTAAAAAGCTGTATGAAGAGGATACAGGCTTTGGAGTTGCAACTAGTTAACTTTGGGCTTCTACTTGAGACAAAAAGCGACTTCATTTTAATAGAGAAAATGTCAATCAAGACGTAACTACTGACACCCGTCTTTGTTTTGCCAGCTAGTAATAAAAGATAAAGCATAGGAAATGGAGGAGCTGCGGCCAGGCTTTTCAACACACACAGTCCTTGTTTCCCACTAGGCGCTGCAGAAAAGCATGTCCATTCACTGCACATCCTCTGCATTTCGGAGCTAATATTTTTGCAGTTCTTAACTTGGTGCATTACAGTCTCACGCAGTTAATTTTGTTAACCCTTTGAAACGCACTGTTTGACGTCTCGCTTAACACTACTGCTAACAGGACCCAGTTTTTAATGTTTCTATTTCTCAATGTTGAGCATAGAAACCTTTAAAAGAAAATCGAGTAAGAAATTTTAGAAACAAAGTAATGGCTTCAAGTAATCCTGTCTTACTTGCTATTGCATAACTTTAAGAAGGGCAATAAGGAAACGCATGTTAACCATACATTACTGGAACTGCTTCTACAAAATTGATTTTGGATTGGACTGATTTTTAGCAGGGGTCCCCCTCCACACACAATGACAGAGTGCTACCGAAAACAAGAGCAGCCTGGCACGATCTGCCTTCTTCCTGAGGCGTTTAGCGGGTGCGCTGTACGTGAATGCATACGCCTGCCCCCAGGGCAGAGCTTCCTCCAACATTTTCATAGTCGCTCTAGCTAAAGCGCAGAAAGAACAGAATCTACAGATGATTAATTCGTCCCCAGGCTCAATCACTTAAGTCCCTAATTAAATATCTCACTTCGCTTTCAACTATTGTAGGAAAAGATAATCAGCAAATTTGCAGCGCTAATAAAGAAGTTTTTATTTTCCTTTATAAATAATAAGATCTAAACCATTGGTCATCTCACTCAGTGCCTGCATCTCCCCTGTTGACTTCTAAATCCAGAACATTTTTTAAAAATGCAACAAGGTGGTAAAGTGCATTTTCCTCGAGAATACACTTTTCTCACACACATTCTACAGGTTTTTCTACCTTCAATCTCATTACCAGCTTCTTCCTCTCTCCCTGCTATTTCTTCCTCTTGAAGTCTGCTATCAACCAACACAACAAACTCAAGGAAAAAACCAACCTCCTTTTTCCCTGCTCCGCAAACCTCACCAATCTCTTTGCCAACCTTTTCCCATCCTGCCCCCCAGAAAGAAAAATGACCCAACTCTAAGGTTTACATCAGAGAAGAAATAATGCATTCATTAAAAAAAGAAAGAAAAAAAAGCAGCCCTTCTCAGTGGGGGCTCAAAGGGCAGTGAGAATGCCTGAGTCTCTCCTCAGGCTGGTTGGAAGGAAACGGTTAATTCAGGGTAAGTGATAATGTGTAGTCAGTTCGCCTAGAAAAAGGAAGGAAATTCAAAAGCTGGTTGCTGTAGTAACCATCACAGACCAAAAAATATATATGTCCAGGTTCATTTTAAATAGAACTCCTGCCATCTCTCTGGATTCTGTTCTCTCAAGAAAAATGAGCTTGCCGCTTAAATTTGTTGTACGTACCTCAACCATTAAACAAGACATTTAACCATAGTGGCAGTTCTGTGACCTTTGAATGCCGTGTAATCTCTGAGAGGTGCTGCTTGCTCATGAAGACTCGTGCTGCGGAATCCAGCAACTTCATCCAGGATTAGGAATATAATTGAAGAAAAAAAAAAGGAAAAAAAACGAAGGAAACACAAAAGCACGCAGAGCGATCGAGAAAGAAGGAAGGTGGAAAGAGAGAGTCTCTCTGGGCGAGTCCACCACTTTTCTCCCAGACAAGCGCTGGGACAGAGCCGAGCTGCTGCAGTGCCCAGACCCACCGACTGGCTGGGGGAGCGGGCGGCCGGCCTGCACGGCTGGGAGGTGCTGTCAGTTGCCACAGGCAAGGAAAGGCAGAGACCAATCGGCTTCCACTCTGGCAGCTCGCTGGAGTGGAGCCTTTTCTGTTTGTTTCCTCATTTCAAGAGTGACGTCAAAGGGTTTAGTTTTTCCTCTGCATGTGCTATTAATTTTAAAGTGCTGTACTATGGGAAGAATGTGTGTGTGCCTGTGATTTGCCTGGGCACCCCACTCTCAGGAGAACCCAAGAAACATTTCCTACGTTCAGGAATAAATTTTTAAAATTTAAAAAACCTTGCAGATAGGTGCATCAAACCCCCCCCCCCCAAAATAGACAAAAAACTCTGAGCTAAATAATAGCAGCAAGATTTATATTTTTTCCAAATATGAGTGTATGCCCACTTCACAGCTGTTGCTTATTTTTGAACTAATTCATTTCTACCCTTACCTAGAGATGAGTCGTGAATTAATCTTTACAGCCGTGGGTGCAGGATTGCACACATGAGCTGGCGAGCAGTATTATGTGCAATGAGAAACAGAGAGCACATTTAAGCCACTGGCCCCTGCTTTTCCACCTCTCCTCCAGCTTCTGTGGGGAGCTGTCAGGGTCATTCACGTTGGGGAGGTCCCTCCTGCCCCCACACCGGGTGTGAGAAGCGGGCTTGAGGATGCCGTGCAGGCAGCCTGGGGCTCAGCACATCCTCTCCCCAAATGTGTGAAGGTGCAGTTGTCTAGGGACACTTCCTCTCCCCGGGCCCAGCTTACCCCTCAATCTCTCCTCCTGCCCTGGAAGTGTCAGTGGTGCCCATCTGTTGTTTCTGCCTCCCCGCACCCTCCCCCTTCTCCCCCTACCCTCCTCCTTCTCCCCCTGTCCCATTCTGCTAACAACTTCTTTTTCTCCTTTGGAAACTTTCCCTCCTCTGTCTATGGAGGCATAGCCTTCCCCACCAACTCCCACTCCCACAACAGAACTAGAGGGGACACGTGACCCCGACTGGCCAATCCGATTTCCCCATCGCTCTAGACAGAGGATGTTTCAGGGGAGGCACACACTCAGAAAGGCCAGGGTCCTCCTTCAAATCTTCGTAGGGATTCTTTCACAAGGAAGGTGTTTCTCTCTCTGTAAGACCCGACATGCCAGGGGTGAAAGCCTGTAGTTGGCCGGGTTCATCTATGATGTCGAAGGCACAGCCGTGAATGAAACAGGATCTGCTTTAGTGTCCTGTACATTTGGGGAAGGGTGAAGACAGGCAATAAAAATAAGTAAACATATAATGTCAGTGGGCAATAAGGGCTTTGAAATAAAGGAAAGTAAGGGCATAGAGTAGTGTGCATGTGTGTGTGTGTATGTGTGTATACATGTGTGTATATATGTATATGTGTGTATGTGTATATATGCACTGTGTATGTATGAGTGTATATGTATGTATGAGTGTGTATGTGCATGTGAGTGTGTGCCTGTGTGTGTGTGTGTATTTGCATATAGAATTGGCAGGATTTCAAGACGTGGGGTGTGAGAGGAGAGGAGAGGAATCAAGGATAACCCCAGGACCCTGGCTTGAGCAGCTAGAATAGAGCTGCCCCTCGCTGATATGGGGAAGATGGAGAAGAGGCGGGCATTGATGTGGCATGGAGCGTGGTTTGGACCATCGTTCAACAGCAATAAAGATGTACTGCTTGCCCACTCTGCACCAGGCACTGTTCTAAGTGCTGGAGTCCAAGAAGAGAAAACACAAACACGAAAGCCTTTGCCCTCACGAAACTTAGATTCTTCTGAGGGGACACAGACCATAACAATAAGCTAAAATTGTTATTGGATGTTTAACAGGGGTAATATTGTAGAGAAAAACTTCTGATGGGGCAGGGCTGCTGGTCAGGAGGGGGCCTGCAATTTTACACTGAGTATCCGGGGAAGGTTTCACTGCAGAGGTGATACCTGAACAAGACTCGAAGTTGACGCAGAAAGAAGATGGGGCAGAGAATCCCAGGCAGGGAGGGTGTCAAGTGCGAAGGCTCTCAGGCAGGAGGGTGGCTGGCAAGCAGTCAGTGATGGCAGCGGGTCTGCATGGGCAGATCATGCATGGCTTTCTAGGACCTGGTAATGACTTTGGCTTTTACTCTGAAAGACAAGGGGGTTTAAGCAGAGGATTGACAGGATCACTGTGGCAGCTGTGCGGAGGTCAGGGTGGAAGAAGGGAGACCAATAAGGGATATATTGCAATAAAACAAGCCAGAGACCATGGCGGTGTTGACCAGGGTGTTTTTCGTGGGAGTGGCTAGAAGTGCTTGGCTTCTGACTGTATTTTGTTGTTAGAGACAATAGGATTTGTTAAATGAATTGGATGCTAGGTATAAAGGAGGGAGATGAGTGAGAGGAGCTAATAACATCTCCCAGCTGTTGGGTTCCATCAAATGGAAGAATGGAGCTGGCATTGGCCAAGAGAAAATGGGAAGGTCAGGTTTTGTGGGGAAGATGAAGAGTGTGACAGTGACCATGTACATTTGCCTCTAAGACATCTACATGGAGATGGTGAGTAGGTAGTGGAATGTACAAGCCTAGAGTTCAGGAGACAGTTTTGAGCTATTGATATAAATTTATAAGTCATTGTACATGCATGGTACTTAAAACCAGGGGACTGGATGAGATTACCAAGGGAACGAGTACAGATGGAAAAGCCCAGGCAGTCCAAGATTAAGTAGTTGGGAAGATGAGGAAGAACCAGCAAAGGAGATGACAAAGAGCCTCTAAGAGGTAAGAAAAAAACCAAGAGGGTGACATCATGGAAGCCAAATGAAATTTTCAATGATCAGTTCTTTTAAATGAAAGTTAGGTGGAGACTGAGACTTGACCCTTAAATTTAGAATATGTAATCATTTGTGCCCTTGACAAAATCAAGTTAATACAGTATAGAGGGTGAAAGATCTAGAGAGAGGGGATGGGTAAGAATTGGGAGCAGATAGTGTGTGTAGTTCTTTCAAAGTGTTTTCCCCACAGAGAGCAGTGAAATGGGACAGGAGGGAACGTGGGGTCAAGGGACCCTTTTTTTTTTTTTTTCGGTGAGGAAGATCACTGCTAAGCTAACATCTGTGCCAATCTTCCTTCATTTTGTATGTGGGATGCCACCACAGCATGGCTTGATGAGTGTTGCATAGGTCCGTGCCTGGGATCTGAACCTGTGAACTCCAGGCCACCAAAGCAGAGTGTGTGAACTTAACCACTACACCACCAGGCCAGCCCTGGGAACATTTTTAACATGAAAGAAATATCAGCATTTTGTATGTTGATAGAAAAAAACCAGTTGAGAGGAATAATTAGTGATGCACAGGAGAGAGAGGAAAATTGTTGGAGCACAAATGGAATGCGTGATGGACAGAAGGGTCCTCCAAGGATGTCCACACTTTAATCTCCAGAGTCTGTGAATATCATATACTACATAGCAAAAGAGACTTTGCAGTGATTGAGGTTATGGATCTTAAAAGAGGGAGATTGTCCTGGATCACCTGGGTGTGCTCCATCAAATCACATAAAAGCAGAGAACTTTCTCTGGCTGGAAGCAGAGGAGAGATGCAGCAGCAGAAGAAGTTAGAGAAATTCCAAGTATGGCAAGTGTTTAACACACTGCTCCTGGTTCTGAGATGTGGGACCTATGTTCAAGGACCAGAGAGAAACCACTAGTAGCTAAGGGCTGCCCCCAGCTGACAGATAGCAGGGAAACAATCACCTTAGTCCTACAGCTGCAAGGAATCGGATTCTGCCAACAACCTGAATGAACTTGGTATGGATTCTTGCCAGAGCCTCGAGAAAGGGACCCAGCCCTGCTGACACCTTGTTTCAGCCTTGTGAGCTCTAAGCAGAGTACCTAGCCAAGCCCACCTACAGATCCATGAGGTGACGGAGTTTGTGTTCACCTGTTCCAGCAGCGATGGAACACTGATAGGATGATTGGCTTTAGAAAGCAGCATGGTGATTCATCCACAGACAGAAGAGAAGGCAGAGTAAATGATAGAGGTGCTGCTACGCGGGTTCTGGTGGTGGCACAAGATTGTGAAAGTTCTCTGTGACTTCTAATTTCTCAGTGAAATAGGAATTAAGAGTCGGCTAAGAGAGAAGATGGGAGAAGTAGTGGAGGTTTGAGGAGAAAGGTGTGAAACAGTCATCCAGGAGAGCAAAGAGCAAGAATTATCAGAGAAGTATAAGCTGATGGCCAAGAGCACTAAGGATCTATTTGAGTTTTGTCCTCATGAGTTAAAGTGATACCAGACAGCACGTTACCTTTACAGTATCTGAGACATCCAAACAGAAATGTCATACGGGCAGTTGCGATGTAATTCTGGAGAGCCAAAGGCAGATGAAATGGTACTGAAATCCACGGGAGGGCACGAAATCATGTAGGGAACAAGAATAAACTCAGGGTCTAAATTCTGGAATCTTCCAATGTATAGCTATTGAGAAATTGAAGATGATCCAGCAAAGGAGACCAAAAGGGAGTAACCACAGAAGTAAATACGCAACTAAGATAGTGGTCTCTCAGAAGTCAAGTCCTGATGACAGTCAGTGCTATGGACTGAATTGTGCACCCCCACCCCAATTCATATGCTGAAGCCCTAACCCCTCAAGTGACTATATTTGAAGACAGGACCTATGAGGAGACAGCTGAGGTTAAATGAGGTCATAAGCGCTGGACCCTAATCCGATAGGTCTGGTGTCCTTTAAGAAGAAGTGGAGAGACCAGAGCTCTCTCTCTGCCATATGAGGATATGGCTGAAAGGCGGCCGTGTGCAAGCCAGGAAGAGGCCTCTCACCAGGCACCAACTCTGCTGGCACTTTGATTTTGGTCTTCTAGTCTGCAGACCTGTGATGAAGTAAATTTCTATTGTTTAAGTTCACCGAGTATGACATCATTTTGTTATTCAACCCGAATGGACCAATGCAGTCTGTTATGTGAGTCAACGAATTTTCTTTTTTGCCTGTGACCATTTAACTTGGCTTTCTGTTACTTATAACAGGAAGAGTCCTAACAAATTCAATAGACAGTGTCAATGTTTCCTAGAGG